CTCCTCCCTCATTATCATAAGCAGAAGCAGAGCACCTACAATACAAGAATCTTGTGCATCACCCACACGTGCACATCAATCTCTCTCACTGACTTTGGGGGGTGGGGGGCGGTAGTGGAGGGGGGCAGAGAGCTGATGCACATGTGTGGCTGACACATATGATTCTGGGAAATGTAGTTTTTATATGGGAGAAAATATTATTAAATCGGGAGTCAGGAGTTTTTTGGTTGCAAATGGGAGTCTCCCTGACATACTGGGAGACTTGGGCTATGTCTTCACTACCATTTCTGTCGGCAAAACTTATGTTGCTCCGTGGTATGAATACTCCACCCCCTTGAACGACATAAGCTACACAAGCATAAGCAGTAGTGTGCACAGTGCTATGTCTCCCGCTGCTCTGTGGGGATGGTTTAATTATGTCTCCTGTCGGCATAGAGTGGCTACATGAGCGATCTTACAGTGGCACAGCTGCATGGATTCTGCACGAAGCTTGGATTTGAATCCAGGTTCCTGAAAGTTTGAGGAGTGGTTCAGATGCAGAGTTTTGGTGTGGTCTCATCTTTATTTAAGGAACAACAGCAAAAATAAATCATGATTTCACTTGTTTTATTTAGATTATAAATGTTTCAAGTTGTCTTTTTCCATCTTTGTAAGGTGACATGGTAATTTGTGGTGCCTTTTTTTGAAAAATATAATAATAATAATAATGTAAATCCACATATGAGCAAGTGATACATTTGTTGAGGTGATAAATTTAAAACGCGTGCAATACATTTGCTTATTTGCAAAGCCTGCTGCCAGCTATTATACCACCTTGGTCTGTGAACTCAGTAGGTCTCAATCTAAACAAAGTCAGGCTAGGTTAGCACTTGAATGAAAGACATCCGGAGAAAACCTGGTGGGTTTTTTGATAAAGGAGGTGACACTCTTCAACTTGGAGTTTTTCCTGAACCAATGCCCTGACAAGGTGTTAAGGGGCATTTTGCCACCAGGTGTGCCATCTTTTAAATAAGACAGACAAAAAATTCCTAACCACTTGTGCTCACTGAAAAGCCCGGTCACTTTCTGCAAAAGTAAGGAGAGATGCTAGCTCTGATGTCTTCACCAAATTCCTATTTGGGTAACTAGTTTCTATCTATTGTAACTTAGAACGCCCCTTGCATTTGCAATTACATGCAGTTGTCTCTATTTCTTCATTTCTTCTCTTAAATTGTTTAATGGTGTTGCACTTGTTTCACTCCAGAGGTGGCTACATTTCAATGGTGGGCAGAGTGATTCCTATATATCACTATAAAATAACTTTTTATATTGTTATATATATACAATATTTCCAGATAACGATACTTTAGTAATAAAAAGATTAAAAAAATTATGCACTGGGATACTACTATCCATATAAAAATCAGCACAGAGTTTGGCTAATATCATGTACTCTCACCTAATTCATTCACACCCTTTCAAAAACTGCTTCAATCTATAAAACATGACAGCAATACTAAACTTTGTTGATGAAAATGAAAACATTGTGTATATATAAGGAAACCATAAAATGGTAAGGGACTAGCTAGCTCTGCACGCTGATAATACAAGATGGAACAATATATCTCTAAGTCATTGATTATAATTTGAAACAGGTCTGTAACAACTAAAAAGCCCTACACGCCGACAGCTATTGAATAGGCTTTGATAAGAGAATTAGTGGTTTCAGTTTAGTTCTTAGCTGACAGATAGTTACATCATAATTGGCAACCTTATTGGCTGACTAAGAAGACAGGCTAAGGATTGAATGGGCAAAGAGACAATAAAATACCATCACCCTCACAGAGATGGTCTCAGCGGCGCGGGCTGAGAGGCGTACTGGCCGCCGCTTCCAGCAGCTCCCATTGGCCTGCAGCAGCGAACCGCGGCCAGTGGGAGCCGCGATCAGCCTGACCTGCGGACGCGGCAGGTAAACAAACCAGACTGGCCTGCCAGGGGCTTTCCCTACACAAGCGGCGTCCCAAGTTTGGGAAACACTGTAATACAGTACACTCAATGCAATTATAATAAGGGTACATCTATGATTAATTCTGTCATGTCTCCCCATAACAAGAAATATATATTTGAAGAATAGCCAGTAGAAAGATGTACGGTGGGTTACAGTTTTGTTCCTCGTATTTCATAGTATAAAGGAGAGGGTGCATTTTACGATTAGCTGAACGTACGGTTTTAGGTACAAGAGACAGAGACTACTGGACTACACTGCAAACTGAAAGTGGTTTTGCTTTTAACTAGATTTTTTCTCATTACCTACTTTCCAGAATGACCATTAATCTAAAACTCAGGCCACCTGACACTTCGATAATACTAAGGACATTATTGTAAAGGCCCATGATCCATGCTCACCTGCTTCAGGATTCCCATCTTTGCACTGTCACTGTTGTGTGATGGCAACGAAATGGAGTTTATAAAACTTGTGATCTCTGAAGATGAGACTATGGCAGGGGAACCTAATTTTTATTCATACGGGCTTCCCAGTTATTACAAATTAGGCTTTGGGTCACAACTATCTTGAGGCTGTGTTCTTTGTTACTTGTTCTGCTTGCCAACCCATTCGATGCGATGTCCTTGTCAACCCCTGGCAACAACAAGCACAAACAGAGCCAAGTGGCTGCACATTTAGCTGCTCCATCGTGGCCAAGAACATACAGATTTCTACTGCTGCAGAGTACTATGTCAGGGCCCCATTAGGCCATTAGGAATGTAGGAGAACTACTTGTGGCTCACTGACTGCAGTTCAGTCACCCTTACAGAATTGGAAGTGATTACAAAGAATGGGGAGGAACAGAGGATGAGAAACACCACAAAGGAGACTCACCAGACACACAATGCTAAAGACAAGAAAGAGCATCACAAAATGGCATGAAAAAGGGAGGAAGCCAAATTCACCATTGATGCAGGTGGATCCAGCTCCACAAAAGTCAACGGAGTTGCACCCTTTTCTGCTAGCACACAGCAAGGACAACAGGGGAATGGAAGACCATGGGCAAGGATGAAGAGATATGACAGAGTTAAAGGAAGCACCAACACAAGTTCAGATGAACAAATCTTAACATAATCAACAGTGACAAATATACTGAGGACACAACATTTTTCCCCAAAGAGGAAGATGAGAAAGGACTCCCACTTTGCTCCTAGTAGAAGCATTGTATTGCCTTAGTCTTCGGTTTTAATCAGTGTTAGAGTTATTCCCACTATTTTTAAACAGTGATGCCAAAAGGGGCTTGTTCACACTAGTGACCAAAAATATGATGAATTTCATTTTAAAATGAAGTCTTTTGCCACCCAATTTTGAAGTCAGAGTAGCTAAAACATTCACTGTCTTCCTTCACACTCAAAACACCAAACACTGACAGATTTGTGGCCATTTTCCAGCTAAAAAATTCCAACACCTATAAATATAATTTAAAAGATGCAAAGAACCAGACCAAAGTTATACAACTCTCAAAAGCAAGGTTAATAATGAAAAGGTTGATAGATGATTTATTAATTGAAGCTTTGCCAAACAATTACACTGTCATTATAACTACAGAAACTATGTAAAAAACCTCACAATCTTACCAACTTCTTTAAACCATTTCTATAGTTCACCACCTTATGAACAGAGAAAGTATGAGCATAAAAAGCATTTTAAGTTTCATGAAGATACAGAGAGCAGACTTGAATCAAAGTAACTACCCTCCCTTCTCCTTCCCCCCCTGCAATATACGACTTTTAATAGATGGACATTTACTTTATAAAGAAAATTGATTTTTATTGCATTTTTAGGCCTATAATAATATTCTTAGAACCCAATAAATATATTTTAAAAATGTACAAACAGTATCTGGACAAAAGAAAAAATATTTTTAAAGTGACACATTGTTCAAAGAAATAAACTGCTGTTTCTTTAAAAATAATTTTCATAAAAGCTAAATCGTCCTTACAATCTTACAACTATTGGCGACAGAAACACTGGGATGAAATTACATTAACTTGATTTGGAAAGGTTTCTATAGATGCAATTCAGGCAGAAAAGCCTCAACTAAGTTCTGCATAAAGCCAGATTTAAATGAGAACAAGCTTTTGTAGCTTTCTGATCCAGGAAAGGATTCCTTCAGCTATTGTATACGTGAAGGGGGGGGGAAGTGCATGCGTACACACAGCGACAATCAGAATCTACTGGATCACTCAGACACAAGAGGCAGGTATCATTTGCAATTAAAACTGAATTCAGCAGACATGCAATTTCACTGGCAGCAAAACGTAGCCAATTAAAAGCTTTAACTATTTCATATATCTACATACATGCTTCTGAAGAGTACACAAAATGTTATCAATAAGAAATGCTGAATAAGAAAAAAAATTAGTAAATTTAAATTAAACAAAAGAGTTTAAGTGCACATGGGAGAAAAATATTTGCAAAAACTATTACGTTAATTAAATTCCACTAGAATGTATGCTCCTTTAAAGTGATATGTATTGAAACTGATCAAGTTCTGAAACATGAATTAGTATTTTATTTCTCAATTTCTATCAATCATACTTCAGTGTCATTATTCTGAACACAACACAGGCCTAAGGAACAACAACAAGCAGTCTTGCGAATGCAGCTTTGCTTAGCCTGTAACTATGGCACTGACAGGAATCTGTACCTATCTGCAGTACTATTTTACTTACTCCCTTACCATGGTTTGCTTAATTAAACCAGCTCATTCTGATTAAATGGCAATGAAGCAGAAGACAGAACAAGGTCAGAAAAACATTTTTACCCACTTATTTGGTACTTAGATTTGTAAAATTACTCCATCCTCTGCTAACCCCCCAAAAGAATAAATGAAGAGAATGATTTTAAATAAAAGGAATCTGAGATTGTTATGGGAACATTTGAACAAACAACATAGTATTCAGCACTTGCATCACTTAAAGTTATCTCTTTACGGGTGTGGATAAAATTACCCCAAACATTGAACAGCTTTAGACTTAGGAAAGGTAGAAACAGAATAAGATGTTTTGAAGTTCTTGCTGGAGAAGAAAACAAGAGCTTGGTCTCCTCCAATGAAAGAAGTACCACAGAGAGTAGGCAGGTTGCCAGGCAAGCTCGGCAGCGTGACCACACTGCATTGAGTTTCTTTAATGAAAGCCAGGAAAGAACACATTACACAGTGTTTCTTCTGAGAGCTAGCTAGCCTCCAGTGATTGAAATCAATAAAAACAGTCGGCATGGGGCCCAGTGGGGGAAGAGAGAAATCTCTACTACAGCGTTCAGTTTGCTTTCCACTTTCTCCGTCTTCCTAAAGTTAAACTTTGAACACCAAGACAAACTACTTCATTTTCAGCACTCAGAAGATTTTGAGAGGGATGGTGGGAAGATAACGTTTTAATTTTCCTTCTGCTTTCTATGCTCCCTCTGCTCTCTTACGGAGTTCAGAAAATGAAAGGGTTGTTTTTCATTTGAATCCTGCCTGGAAGAACTTCTACGGACAAGTGCATCATCCTATACTTAGAAAAGGGATGAATTTTACAGTGAAAGGATGTTAAGTGGTGAAAGAGAAGAAAAAATGGAATCTTATTCAGCAAAAAGTACACTCACTGGATAGAACGTCAACCACTGCTGTGAAAGCTTCTGAAACTGCATTCAAAAGAGTAAGACCAGTGCAATACACAGTCTAAAGCAGCTGAAACTTATAAAAATACATGCTCAATGCAAAAGACAGGATCACAAGGAAAATAGTGGGTAAGTTGGAGCTGTTTTTAATGATTCAGTCTCTCAAGTTTGAAATCAGCAATGCACATTTCCACTGTAATTTCTATAAAAAGTTTTAAGTGTTTTCTTGTTAACTCAACTCTTTGAAGACTGAATATTTAAAGTTACATACTATTTAAGCAATTTGATTTATACCATTTTAAAATTCTGCTAGGTCACTGATCTTCACAGAGAATGATCAATTATTCACAGAATATATTTCCTTGGGTTTTTTTGTTTAGTTTTGTTTATTGACAAGGTAGAATCAGGCCATTACGCAACTCCACCCACTCCATGTTCCATGCTCTCTGAGGTCTGTTTGCTATTTTAATTTTGAAACACTACAGAGACCACAAGTTGAAACTGAACTGAATTTGAGAAACTGCCAGTAATGAAGTTCTAATATGGTAGATATGTATTTATTTGACTTATTTTACAGAGCCCTTAATCATCATAGCAGCTACACTACATACCTAACTGAGTTCTGTGTGCTGATTTAAAACATAAATTATAGCAAATTGTATATATGTTGGTTAGTCTCAACTGACATCAAAATGTACATATAAGGTATCTTTTAAAGGCATTTCTAAATCATTTATTATTACACCCAAGGTGGCTTTTTTTGTGTTGGTATATTGTTTGAAAAATGTCACATAAGTATACTCAGCACTTAAACATTCAGCCATAATAACTAACATAGCATTTCACAGGGAGATACTAGCAGAGAGTGGTGCAGATAGATTACTAATGCAGCAAACCCTTCTACAAGATTTCAGTAAATTTAAATAAAATTTTCATTTAGATTATAATGAGACTATGATAAGGGATCGAGCCTGACCACAGCAAGGATGAACAAAAATGCTGAGTGTGCATCTTCTTTCATAGTGTTCCAGCTAGCGCTGGAGAGCCACTGTACCTTAATGTGGGGGGTGCCCTTTGAGCAAGAGCACCATACATGCCCTCTATGCTGGCTAGCACTTGCTGGTGACAGCAACATATATGCTGATTTATTGCAGGTGGGATGGGGGAGAAACTGGGTTCCTCTAAAGTCCCCTGAGGAATGTGTCTTGTGGGCTGGTGCAATAAGTATCCGCACCCATCCAGCACAATCCTGTAAGTTATAGAGGGAGCATGCCTGAATGACTGTAGGGGTGGAGGATGGGAAGAAGATACTTTCTGTGCCTTCCCACTTGTGCTCCAGCAGGCTGTATTCATTCCTTGTTTGGTGCCTTAAAACACACGTTCAAAGCAGGGAACCTCATTTATGTTAAGGATGAATTTTAAGGAATACTACTTGAATGTGAAGAAGCTCACTCTAACTGTTGGAAGCAATTGAAAAATGAAAGTTTGTTTTTTTTAAATCCTTTTGGTTAATTTTATTAAGCTAAGAAAACTACACTGGTGACAGTTTTGACGAGCTGTATGACATTCTCAATTATCTTTTATAATCTTCTTAAAAATATAAATGTTTGACTATCCACACTGAAGGATCATTTCTTAAGACAGCCTTAGCTCAGGTTTAGGTCCTGGTCATTTGTAAAGTCATATTTTTGCATGCAAATGAGGTAATTATATGTGCAGATTAGTAGCTAGGTGTGCAATTATCTGCTTTGCTTGCACAGCTGTGGAATTTTGTTGGTACAACAGGTGCATGCACATTGTGCAGGAGCACCCATTGTTCCTGCTTTGGAAATCTGGCCTTTTATGGCCACTTTATTGTTTCCATTACATGAAAATACAAAAGACATTCAATCTTGCAAGTTACCAGTCTAACAATGGAATTTGGTTAAAGTCTCCAGAACTGAGGAGCTGTTACTTTTGCACAAGTATCTACTTAAATATTTTTTAAAGCACATATTTTTTCAATCAAATGTTGGAAATAGCTTAGGTAATAATTTCTGAGGTAGCAACACATCTTAATTTTTTTTCATTGTTCCAATCTTCAGCACCGTATACAAAAGAAAGATACTTGGCAGAGCAGCTGGTCAACATATAATTAAGTAGCATCCATTAAAAATAAAAGAACAAGGTTACATATAATTCATCATAGTGACAATATTGCTAGTTTTTGACATATGCCCAGCTACCCCAAATTCCACTCTTTCCCCTAACACTCATCCAACAATGCTTTCCTTGTTTTGTCCTTTGCCTCCATAGGCCACCCTGAATAAAGGACAACACCTAAGGTTAGGGAATGTTGGCAGTCACTCCTACAACAAATGGACTAGCACTTTTTCTACTATTCTTACGGCAAAATACACACCTATGCAGAGGGGCCTATGATAAGTCCCACTTAAGCCTTCAAAATAGGGCTTAAATGTGACTTAAGTAATATAAATGGCTTGTACTGGCCTTCTGTTTGAGGTGAATTTCACATACCCCTCACCACTCTTCTCTTAAGTAGAAGAAGAAGAAATGGCCTCTAGCTCTCCAAAAAGCCTAAGGCCTGGTCTACACTGAGTTAGATTGACCTAACTGTGTCAGTGTACATACTACAGCCTTGCTCCCGCTGATGTAAGTGCCCTACTACACCAACATCATAACTCCACCTCCATGAGAGGTGTAGGATTTATGTCAGTGTAGTTAGGGTGACGAAGTGTCCCTGTAGACACTGTGGGTTACTTACATCATCGGCTGTTGACTTGTCATTCTTGTCAACTGACAAGAAAGCTGCTCACAGCTCGGGCTGTCATCTCAGGGCGGTTGGGGGGCTCCAGCGAGAGCCTGGCAGCCCCCAGGTTCCCCACTCTTGCCCCCAAGGTCCTGGCACCCTGTTTGGAGCCAGGCAGCTGCCGGGGGCCCGGGTGGCTGCTGAATTCCTGGTGGGGAGCCAAGAGCCCAGGTGGTTGCCATGCTGCCAGCAGGGAATGGGGAGTCTTGGGGGCAACTGGGCTCCCAGAGGGGAGCTGCAAATGGAGTTGACAGCCTGGGTTCTCAGCCTCCCACACTGCCCCTCTGACGTCAGTGGAAACGCTCCTGGCGAGGACATGCACCACCGATAGAAGGATGGTAGTGTGGCCATGAACCACCGCAGTAATTACCTACCCATTTAAAGAGCTGGATAACCAGACTTGACTGAACACTATATCTGTCTACACTGAGTGGAGAAAGAATGTTTTGGTCTCTTTCAGATGAACATGATCCGACACTTCTTGAATATCATAAGACTTCTGGACATCTTGGCCCACATCCTCCAAGGTATTCAGGCATCTAGTTTGCATTGATTTGAATGGGAAACACCGAAATACCTTTGAGGATCTGTGCCCTCCTACTTATACTGGTGATTCATGCTGACTACATTAGATGGATTCAACTGAGCACTTTCAATTTGTCCCGTGATGTCATTACACAGCGGAGGGACTCTTAAACTGATTGGTTTTCTGTAGTTTATCTACTTTAATATACAGACAAGCTGTAGTAAAAAATGGTTAGAGAGGGCACAATTTTCTTCTACATACTGAAAAGTTAATGAAGGCATGAGATTGTAATTAATAAATGAAGATGATGGGCAGTTTTCTCTAGGCAAGATAGTTTTCTGCAACTGCTGTATACAGAGTCCTGATATTTCACTTAGGAAGAAATGAATTGTTGTTGTAAAAGGTAATGAGTTTCACATTTTTGCATACTTCTTAAAAAGTATCTACTTAATTATTAATCTGTCATCATTAGTCTCAGCTCCAGAATTCAACAGAATATGTAACTAGGAGAAATTAGTGTTCCGGGATTCATTCTCTACCTTCATCTGTCTAACTGTACATCCTTCCACCTAAATTAAGAGAAAGTATTACCTAACTGGAGAGTGACAAATTACTAATTTGAGAGAACCAGGACCTCTATAATTTGATTTATTAGGGACCTTTAAATAACTATTTAAATATTCTACCATTTATTCTTTATAATTACTATACTTATGTGTACTTCTATTTGCCGTAGCCCAAATATCAGACAAAGAACCAAAATGGACTAAAAAACAAATAGTGTGGGCAACTTTACATTATGGGAATTCATTTTTTAGCATAATTAACTTGTTCTATAACCTCCCAATTCACTATTCTACATCTCTGATGTAAATTTCTCACAATAATGGCTAGAGTACAATGGACCTGATTGTCCAATGCCCAGCACATTGAGACCAGTGCAAGCTGCGCAAAAAATCCTACTATTGTGAACTGTACCATTCAGAACTACCATATTCACCTTGCACACACTTTACAACAGGATAAATGCCTGCCTGTGGTCCAGGGAGATGGAGAATTGGGGGCCAATTTTAATCAAAACAAGGAACTACTGTGGGAGCATGTTCCAGCATTTACATTTGATTTTGAAGAACGGGAGTACTTGTGGCACCTTAGAGACTAACAAATTTATTAGAG